CAATTTCAGATAACTTGTGTTGGTGCTACAAAGCACAACATGCACCACTGTAAAGTTTTGCAAATACTGGAGAAATGCAGCACAGTCTACTTTCTGTACTCCGTAAGAAAAACTGAATAGAAGCTGGGTCAGGGTCAGCCTTTAAATAAGAACTGTTTAATTCGATCACTTAGGAGCTTAAACACTGCAAATAATAGCTAGAAAATGAATACAAGTAGATCCTGTGATGTCATGTGACTCTTTAAATAAGGATGTTTTTGCATATACACAACAAAAAGTGAATGATTATTTGGAACACAATTTTAATTTTGTTTTCAAACAAAAGACTTTGTGATGTGAAAAAGATGGTCATGTATTAAACTGAAAGAATAATTGCAGTACTGAGACAATTCTTTTCTAGGAGTGTTAATGAAAAATCTGTTACATTTTCTAGTACTGGAGATTAGGTTGGCAGGAAATCACCCAACTACTGGCAGTCATCACATTCTAAAAATGTGTAGGTACATGTATAACAGTTGCTTTGCCAATCTTCAATGTTGTCTTTATCAGCAATTGGGTTGTTGGTTTTTTTCGCCCCTAATAGTGCTTAGCTGATTCCATCATATACAATCAGCAAGACAAACATTAGAAAAAGACATTGCTTGTTGCTCCACTCTATTATTTAAGAGAAGCATGACAACTCAACTGACTTCAATGGCAGGTATATAAAATAACCGTGGATAAACTGCATCAGGGTTACACTTCATGCACATCAAGCTGCAGAAACTTCCACTATCTTTGCAGCAAAATACAAGCCAAGCAACCAGATGAAAGTAATTTTTGCAGACAATACATGGTTTTAAAATTTTCAAGTGAAAGTAGAAACATAAAGCTACTGCAGTGCTCCTCTTGACTTGAAAGCAATATGGAGATATAAAGGAACCTCAGTAGGTTTCCAAGACTGGGATACTCTTTATCCAACTGAGTTCTGCAGTGAAACAGACCTTCAAAAAACACAGCTTACTGCTGGTTTTAAGATAAAATACTACCAATACCCATGTATGGTTGTAAAGTTAGGACTTATTCTAACTTTAATGAAAAACAATTTATGCCAAAAAGATTGTTGGGGAGGAAGAAGAAAGTTCCAGCTATTTGGAAACATCAAAATGAGATTCTTTAGCTCCAAGTAATATTGCAGAAGACAGTAGATTAGGGAAAAAGCATCAGAGAAGATACCTGCTGAAGCACCAGGCAAACGACAAATAGGCAAAGGCATTAACGTAGATGGTGTTTCTGTCTTTATTTGGCAATGAGAGAGAGTGGAAAATCAGTATGATGACAGATATGGCAGTAATAGGGAAATATTTTAAAACACCAAAACTTAACTAAAAGCAAAGAGAGAAAAGGGATCTTAAGCTTAATTTGTAACTGCAGAAGATTAGTAGTTGAGTGGGACTGGATTTTGAGGCAAATGTGAATTCTTTTGAATGACAGCCTTAGCTAGGAAAATGAGCTACAGAATGGAGATAACCTATTTACAAGAGCAGTCACCAAACAGTTCCTTAACACTTCCTTTAATGTCAAATAACTGAAGAAACAGGGAGGGGGCAACTGGCTGGAATTACAATCCTGGATTGTGCTCACAAGGAGCAGAAGCACTCCCAAACTGGCAAAGCTAACTGCTCACTTGTTCAGCAAGATCCTGGGGAAAACCTGTGAACTGGTTCAAGGTAGCAAATGATGCTCACCAGCAAATAACAGTAATGACAGAAAGTGACTGCCATGAAGGGAAGTGAAATTTAGGCTTAAATTTCTCAGTAATTAACCAGAAATGCTATATCTTACCTAATTTATGCAAAGTTTATATATAATTATGTGAAGCAAAGCATTACTTTTAATTTCCCTTCCCATCTCCCCCAAATTTGTATTTTTATCCAGATGATTTCACAGAAGTATCTTCAGAAAAAAGGCAGTCCCTAAAGAAAGTTATCAGGAGTAGACAGGGTTACTTGCCTTAGATTTGATACCAAACCTGAACAGTTACGTTGTTCTGTACCACAAAGATGCAGAGATTTCAACTCAGATGAGTACAGAGACACTAACCAAACAGGTTAACTAAGTTAATGGAAGCTCCTGTAGTATAAATTAGACCATGCAACTGAGATAGCTTCTGCAGCATCATCACTAAGGAACAGCAAGAATGCTCTTGAGCAAGCGTGGGGGAATTCAGATCCAGATTATACCTGGCCTGGAAAAGTTAATCTCATTAACTTCTCCTCCACATCACCAAAATATTTTCTTCCTTCCATTTCTAATGATGGTGTTTGGTGTAAAGGCGTAGTGCTGTGTGGGGAAACTGGAGTTCATATGTGATTAAGTTCTAGATCACAACAGATTTTCAACTACTGCAGCACCAATAAGCTCAGTATACTTCTTGAACCCCCAAAATGTCACATAACACTTCATATTCCTGCCTCTGGAGCAAAATTATGGATGTACCACTGCAGAACTCCTTAAAACAAAGAGCACACTTGTTAATGGCTGCATTTTAAAATACACTGAAGATTCAGAATTTTCCTTTTTGAGAGAAAACCAAATAAAACAACCCCAGTTCACAACAGAGAATTTACCTCTAGGGTTCATCCAAAAGTTCTGTGAACTGCCCAAAAGTATCAAGAAGCATTTATTCATGATGCAAACATCACCTCTCAGCAACCTTTACCACAGCAGGCACTCTGCAATGCATGCCAGCACACAAGCTTTTAAGGAAAGAAACAGTTGATAGCAATGGCATTTGGGCCAAGATCCCCAAAATAACCGTAAGAACAGACCTGTACAAGTCATCCACATACCACACATTACAACAATAAATTTTAAAGGCATCAGTAGACTTCTACCCTGTATTGACTCTCCAGTGAAAAATTATAAAAGACAAGCCAAGTAAGGCATGTGAAATGAAAGTTCAAAAGGCATGGAAAACTAACACTGTGAAACATCATACCGGTAGGCCAGCAAAATCCAGAAACTTATGTCTTACTCGGGATACTGTGGAATTGCTATTGAGATGATTCCTTGTAATATATAATTGCTGAGAGAGAAGGGCAAACAGATAAATTTGCTTTCACATGCTTTTTACTACAAATGTGTTTTGACTAAACCCAATGAAAGCAGCATGACGATAACATTGCAGTCAGTATGTTAAAAGATTACAATGCAATAATCTGCATTTTAAGGAAAAATACAGAGAACTAACAGCAAAGAGAACAAAAATGATTGAACAAATTTAAACAACAATCATCTTCCTTACAGAACTGTTACCTAGACTTGAAGTATGTGAACCCATCTCTACTCACAGACTGAATTCAGAGTAACCAACCTACAGTAGAAGGTAAGGATCAACTTAAGTGCTGAAAGCACTAGTGTTTTTAATGCCTCCTGTTTTTTTATTTCCCTTTCAAACAACAAATGTTATGATAGTCCTCTGGAGAAATATTAACTATAATGACATTCAGGAAAGGGTAAACTAGTCATATTCCTGTGAAGTTACTGAACTCACACCGTAGACATATGACAAATGAACTAAAAGAAATTTTTCTTCATGGCTTTCTTGTGACCAGATATAAACAAGTATGCCTGCTACTTCAAGGACTTGTAGAGACTGTACAAGTGGACAGATTAGATTTGCAGGTTTAGGTGGGTTCAAACATAGCAAGACTTGGAACTGAATGGAAAATTGTACAATATAAGAATCAAGTCTTCAGCCCCTTGCCATCTTTTGCTAAGTGAAAATCGACTGTCATCCACAGGAGGAGTAACACCCCAACAGGACATTCCTGTGGAGTGTCTGCACACCCTTTGCTTCTTGGTATCACTGATGGGGTAAATCATAGAATCATAGAATGGTTAAAGTTGTAAAGGACCTTAAGATTCACCCCCTCTGCCATAGGCAGGGATGTCTCACCTTAGACTAAACATTATACAACTGCCTGTCTTCTATGTGGAGAAACATTTTCATCTGCTTCTCCACCATAAAACACAGCAATAAAATTTTCCTCCTCTCCTTATTAACTGTTCTTTTAACAAGGTGCATTTAAAACATTCAGCAAATCCCAGGATCCTCAGTTATTCAAAAGTTAAACAGACAAGCCAACTGCTTCTTCCATTCTGTACATGGGTAAACTTGAAGAAAAGATAGTAATGGTATTGCTAAATTGCTTAGCAACTGTAGGTAGAAAGCTAATATGTCATAATTTATATGTGAAAAGATTACAGGGGGTTAGTAGTCACATCTAGTGCTATTGAGGCTTCCCACTGAAAACTGCACTGCAAACTGGCAGCTGACTCAAAACACTGCTATTTTCAGCAGTTCAAAAACTGTAAATGTGTCAGCGACTGCTCAAATAGGCTTTGATACTGACAATTTATTGCAATGTTTCACATTAGCGTCCTACTGACTTGTATAAATCACTCCCAGGCTGAAAACAACCCCTCTGCACAGCTTTGTAATGAATTCATGCGCTGAATTAGTCTTGCTAGCTTCAGAGAGGCATTGGAAGGTGATTTTGATCAGTCTCAACTAGACAAAGACAATTTCTACGAGCCAGATTTGCTAATACGCACCAAGCAGAAGTAAATATGCTTTTCTAGGGCTCCTTGGGAGGACATAAGGGATAAAAAAATATGAACATCTCAACAAAATAGAAAAAGTCAGTGAAACAGATCTGCAACTACTATTCGTGCTCATTAACAAAGGAAAATTTATGGCTGCTGGGTTTGGTTTGACCATAATGTTTGGTTAGTGGAGGTGAAGGTTTCCTTGGGCAGGGGTTTCTGCAACTGAGGTACCAAAGACATGAAGACCTGTGTGAGCTTTTATAGATTTATCTTCTATGTACGGCAGAGTAAGGATGGTTACACTCAGAAACTGAAGAATATGAATATAATCCTACAACCAGTCAACCATTTCTATACCTGAAATGCAAAGAAGATAAACATTTGGGCAAATGTATGTGAAACATTACCTGCAACCACTGTGACTGGTCACTGTGGCCAGAGGTCCAGGCATTAACTTTGCCTTGCTTGTCCAGCCGTGCTTTCCTGGGCTCCCAAGTGAACATGTCCATGTTGAGTGTACGGAAAACACTGGAAGCGCTAATTTGGTAGTCCTGTATATGCCCTGATTTCATCCCCAGGGGTTCAGAGCAACCTGGAACAGCAAAATAAGATTTGTGACACTACCTACTTATCTCTGCAAGTAGTATAGGTTTTCGGTTATGGAAAAGAAAACTAGCAATTCTTGAAAAAGGCTTTAATCAAGACTATTGTTGGAGGAACTTGAAAAAAAAACAAATGAAAAATAGCTAATTCAAGGCACTTTATTTCAACACTACCTTGGGAGAATCAAAAACAAGATAGAGAATTCAACATATTTCATTCTGGCATAAATGTATGAAGGCAAACAAACAGAAAAGATGACTTTTGTCTCTTCTTATCTTGGCTTTCTTTTCCTGTCCAGCAGCTTGTTATCATTTCCCCTGTTCAGTTTTATTTTTTCATGCTTTTATGCCATGTCACATCAACCATCTGTTTGCCTACTGAGGAAACATTAACTTTTCTTAAAGCCACTGCTGAAGTACAGTGTTAACAAGCACTATGCTCTTCTATACTTTTGAATTGGTTGACATCTAGCCAAAAATTTAGAAAGCCCCAGCACCCACTGAGGGAGTGGAAGACTACAGAAAGCCAAATGTGAAGGAGGGAGAATAATAGGAGATAATTGCTTAGAAGAAATAGAGTTAATGGCTTATTTGCTTAAACCACATAGATGTCCCATGTGATTGAGTTACTTTGATTGCAGCATGTTGGGTGTCCATGGGCGGGGGGAATAATAAGTGGCTCTGTGCTCCTCTGATTCGCTATTGTATACTGGGAAACGAGAAGGTTTTTGGACCCAGAAGAGGGAAGAAGCAAGCTGTCAACAGGAAATACACCCTTTGATAGCAGGACTATAACAACAGTGCTGGAAGGCAAGGAAGGCAGATGAGCTGCATAGTTTTAATATTAAAAAAGATAGGAAAATTAAAGTCAAACCAAGTGGCTGAGAGCCAGAGGGCTGCTAAGAGGTTAGGAAAGGTGGATGTAGAGCTAGGTGGAGTAATGCTTGATTATTGAGGAAAAGGTAAAAGAGATGAGAATGTAAAAAGAAGCTGTTTTTTTCATTCCCTTCCTGCCCCAGCTGTCAAAAACCTGTATACGTGCAGCTGTCCCAAAGTTTTCACTTCACAAATTCAGGGATCCTACTCGGTTTAGTAGCTGACATAACTCAGTTAAATTGCCCATAATATTTTGACATATTCTAACTAACTGAGTGAGGTGTGCTCATGACCTAACATACCTGGTTTTGCGGAGAGTGCGTCATCACTGTGAATGCACAAAACCTTGACTTCATTTATCATTAGGAAGACAGAGGTTTTCCACCTGATACTCATATGCCATGCTGCACAGATGGTTCCTATCAGTCATTTGCTGAGTAACCTGCTGTGTTTCTTAAAGCGCAGAGATAAGTCATGAAGGGTTTCCTGTTGTGACCATGACCTACTCTGCTGGTGCCTCTTAACAAACTAGGAGCATTGTGTGACCATTTAAAACACCTTCAAAGTTTTCACTCTGTTTTTCACTTTATTTGAGCTAGGCATCAAAGATGGTTCCCCTTTTCATAAAAGTTCATTTTCTCCACAATATGTTTATCAGATTTAAGATGTGAGGTGTTTTTTTTTTACTTTCTTTCCTAGTATTAGCAAAACCCTTTTGGTCACATTCTACTTTCTGTTTATTTCTGTAGGTTTAATGCACACGATTAAATAGACTTATGTATTCAAATCAAGAAGGTGAGACCAGGCTCCTTGTGGGGAGTCTGACAGCGAGAGCACGTGCATTACAACAGACAGATAATATGCTCTTTAATGTAGTAAATACTGCATTTAAAATTTGAAATACTGATGTGTTTCATACTAAATTGAAAACTAATAAAAAAAAGAGTTCACTTTTGAAAAATTAATGTTTCAGAACTGATTCTCAGTGCACAAATGAAAATTGCACTGCCTTGTCTGTAGAAAGAACTACCTAGTTCAACATCAGAATAATTTTCCCGAGAGTATGAGGGAACACTTGATAGTACAAATGAGGGAGACTCATCCTTTGCTTTAAAAATGGACTTTGCTTATTATTCAATTCTGAAGTATCAATTCCGGATCACAAGGGCTGTCAGCAGGAATGTTTCATCTGAGGAACCTGAAGCAGGTTTTTGACACAAAAACATGGGTTGTCAAAACTGTTTTTCAGTGCTGGTTCAATCTATCAAAAATAATTCTATATTTTCTGAGTATTATTATTGATTTATGAAACAACAGATGTCTCTGCCTGTGTGTCTGTGTAGGCGTGCATGTATTAATGGGATTTTACACTTGCCTACCTTCTCCACTGCCCCAAAGGGAAAAGGAAGACCATTGTTAAAGGTAACAGGAGAAAGTAAGAAGAACAATGAGAATCAGAAGAGAGGAAAATGGTGGCAAAACAATGTGTTAGTGCTGTGACTCAGAGAACAACAGCAGACCCAGTTGCTTCCCAGCTCCTACAGCACCCTGCTGCAATGACATAAAGTAATGACTACTTACTTTGATAGGCTAGCTGTTACCTATACAGCAAAGGATAGAAACATCAAACCAGTACAAAACTTTGTGTCTGTAGCTAGTCATCCCTCACAAAAGTGTGTCTATAATAATGCTTCTGACTCCACAGGACATCTCTTCACTGCACCGTATCTTCTTTAAATTTGCTTTGTAATGTCCCTGCAAAGGGATTCAATCTCCCTTTCCATTTTCATAACCTGTTAAAGTTAGTGAGAACTGATGTGGCCATACAGCTATGGTCAGTAAAGCATCTTAGGTCAAAATATTTGAGATACTTTGATATCACCATCTCTGATAAATGATATCTGGCACCTCCGCATGTTTTAACCTGTCTAGGTATAGGGTTTGCAGTTCATTCTTATTTGGTCTAGCTCAATGGAACATGAACAGTGAAACAATGAGGATGAGAGTGCATTAGCCTGAAAGAATCTATGTGAAGGCTATTCTTTGTTCACTGTTCTGAAAGCACAATATTTTACTCTGCGTCCTGTCCTACCACTCCTTTCAAGAAAACTCAAACCCTCAATAGAAATATTGAATATCCAAAACCACAAAAAGATCTCCATGCAAAGGTCTACATGCATCTTGTCTGGGGCCAGGATTCATGCAGTACTGGCAAAAGCAGCACAGGTAAATTCTTTGAGGGCAAAGGTGATTTTGTTTTGGCTAATACTGTGTTATTTTTCTTCTATGAAAATCAAGAGATTTTTTTTTTTCTCTTAATGAACACTGGATTTCTTTCAGATTAGATAGTGCTGAGAAGGAACAAGGTAAGGGGAATCGTATGAAATGCAGATGTTACTAGCCCCTTTGTGTGCGAGTTTGTATGAATAGTATCTAAAGGTACTGTCAGGATAGAGAACTAGTAGCTTGCCAAAAAGAGGAAAATTACATGCTCAGAAGATGTTGATTTTCAAATGGATGGTTAAGCCCTGGGGACCAGCATTCCTCTGCAAGACCCGATAAACTCAGAATACCAAGGATTTGCTGAATTGCTGCACAGCCACCAATATACAGGAGAAATAACAAGGTATGGCATAGACTTGCATGCAAAAAGGCAGAGCCTTCTCTGTGCAGCTGTTTCATTGTGTGAGTGAACTGCATGAGTAAGTGACTGTGTTGTGCAAACAGTTATCTGTCTTCAAATACAGCAGCTTGATGTTACTAGTAATACCAGCATAATGAATAAAGGCATTCTAATAAACAGTAGCTGTGATCTGCTTCTTCCTCCACATCAATGTTTTATGAAGGGAAGGGAGTTTACCACACAGATGTGCAAAACACAAATAAGGCAGGAACAAAAGTCCATGAAAATTAATGCCTAACTTACCAATGTTAAACATCACAAACATTGATCATGGGTTTTGGTAATATCTGACCACGGGTCCTGGTAAGTAAACCTATTTATAAGCCTAGAGCAGATTAGATTGAACATCTTGCTGAAGTCTGTCCTAAGAAAATTACTTTTTAATCATCTGGTGCTGTGAGACAGTCTCCCTCCCTTCAATACCGAGTCTTTTTCCTAGCACCAGGACTTTTTAGAAAAGTCAGGCCTCTCAAAGTGTTTTTCCGTCTAAGACAGATCACCTGGAATTACAGCGAATTAGTCTGTTATTTATAATTGTACTCTTATGAAATTGTTCTGCTGAGCCTTGGCTGCCTGCAGTTCTAAGAAACGATGACCTTGAAACTGCTAGGAGACCACTGAAATGAATTCACTTCAGTAGCTTTCACAGTTCTTTGAGCAAAACAATTCCTGGTCATTCTGGCAAGGACTTACTCTAAATTGTAGTTCTAGAAATGGAAGACATAAAAAAAAAAATCAATCTAATAGACTAAAGGAGCTAGACAGAGTTTTCCATTTACTCTCAAACCTATCTATATTGGAAAAGGGCTACAGTGAGATTAATGCATTAACTTTTCATTTCTGAATCTGGTTTTGATGCCACTAGAGGACTGAAAATTATTTAACTCCAGCTGCTCTGATACATCATTCGTGAACTGGATGACTATTGTTTGTACAGTAAGCAGGCAGCCACATAAAAATCATTCTTCAATGAATTCAGTGGAGCACTCCCACTGGTAAAGGGTTGGTCTCTTGAAAAAGATAAAAAATTTACATGCTCTGCTGAATTTGTAAGGGAACATGGTTCTTGCAGAGAGTGGCTAGAGGTCAGGCTTTATAGCTATGAGCTAGAACTTCTGCTACTACAAACCTTAAGAGGGTTTATATTGATTCCACTTGTTCATTTACTTTTTGCCATGAGATGCTTCTGCTAGAAATCCACAAAACATCTAAATTGAAATCTTGGCTAAAGTAGCATAGCAAAAAATACCTGACTGCACTCTGAGCGGTCCTCAAGGGCAGGGGAAGAACCCTTGTCCCTCCAAGGATGTCACACAGCGTGTTGTCGTGTTCACACCACAGACAGAAGGAATGACATCAGCTTTGATGCCTGTTTGTGCTGTGCCTCTGCTGTGCAGCACTGCACACACAGCTTTGGCTCTCAGAAACTGTTTCCAGTGCTTAGTTTAGCCTGTGCTGAGTGTAACTGCGAATCAGAGAATCTCTGTCTCTTAGTCCACTTAGTATGGAACATTACAGGTCCTGATTGCTCTCTGCAACTGAAAAGAGGATGAAGGCAAGAAAGTGGCTGGTCTCTTCTCCCAAGAGCAAGAGACAGGACAAGAGGAAAAGGCCTCAAGCTATGCCAGAGGAGGTTTAGAGTGGAGATAAGGGACAATTTTTTCCCCAAAAGGTGGTCAGGCATTGGAACAGTCTGCCGAGGGCAGCAGTGGAGTCACCATTTCTGGAAGTATTCACATATCATGTAGACGAAGCTCTCAGTGACACAGTATAATGATTGGACTTGATGATCTTAAAGGTCTTTTCCAACCTAGTTGATTCTGATTCTATTAATAGCTGTTGATAGTAAAACTGCTATAAATGTCTTTTTCCAGGTTGCTGGAAAAGTGGAGGCTAATGAATGCAGAAAGATTTACTAAATGTTATTAGGTTGCTACTATATTACCTTACTGCTGCTACAGACCTGCTGCCTGCAACTACTGCACTTACATCACTTAAGTAAGTGCTGCTGCTTAAACAATTCGCATAAGAAGAGATAAGCAACTGGGCAAGTTGCTAGAAAAGAACTTCATTTCACCAAGAATACCAGGTTGCGTGAAACACCATCCACCCTGGCCTTGAACACTGCCAGGGATGGGGCAGCCACAGCTTCTCCAGGCAACCTGTGCCAGGACCTCACCACCCTCACAGGGAAGAACTTCTGCCTAAGAGCTCATCTCAATCTCCCCTCTGTCAGGTTAAAGCCATTCCCCCTTGTCTTGTCCCTACAGGCCCTTGTCCAAAGCCCCTTTCCAGCTTTCTTGTAGCCCCTTTAGGCTCTGGCAGCTGCTCTAAGGTCTCCCCTTAAGGAGCCTTCTCTTCTCCAGGCTGAACAAGCCCAGCTCTCAGCCTGTCTTCCCATGGCAGGGGTTGGAACTGGATGATCTTGAAGGCCCCTTCCAACCCAAACTATTCTGAGATTCTATGATTCTGTGAATAAAATGCACATGGTTTAGACCTCAGTGCTGTTGGTGGTTGACTTCTGAGGGGCATTGGTTGCAGAACACCCACCTGACAGCTCACAGCCCAGAAGTTCCATTCGCAATGTGCAGTGCCTTCTGCACACCTGAGGATACAGCCGTATGTACTGTGACTTGATAGGAGGGGTGAAGGAGTTGGCATATGGAGTGTTGTTGTCCACATTGCCACGGAACACCTATGATAAAACAATATATACATAAAACTGGAGGTTCAGTTGATTTCCATATCTCAGAAATACCAGGGTTGCTCTTCTGCACATTCCCATGCATTTTTCCCAAACAGAGGTAGCCTTATCATTCCTAGTGCCCAATATGCAAGTGTATAAATAATACATGCTGACATCAGTTTGCATCAGCACGTGTTTGCCACATGCTCTGAAAAGGGAACCTCTATCTTGTCACCCCTATAAACTGAAGCTACTAATGCAACTAAATTATGTCTTCTTTTCTAATTAGTGTATTAAATAATCCCAATTCAATTTAGCCTGCAATTATTTGCACTGATTGACATTTATTTTTCTCCCTCTGCTTCAAGAACCTGATCCAACTCCCACTGAAGCACACTGCAACCCTCACACTGATTGCATGGGGAGTTGAATGAAACCTATGAGCATTCTTTTGTTCACTCCTCACTAACCAGATATGCCTGTAACTTTGTTTTCCTCTTTCATTAAATACCTTTTCATACAGCATTTAGATTTTCTAATAGAGTTACTACGTTTAATGCTGCAAAGTGCCTTAGCTCTATCCTAAGTTACACAGTAAAGGGATTTTTGCTGCTTTGTATGCACAACTCCATAAAAAGTAAGTGGTAACTACAAACTGTAAGTGCATGGTTCTCACTGAGTGATACTGTTTGTGCCATGCAGAAATTAGCACTGATGAATGAGTTCTGTGCTTCTAAGGGTTAACACTAATATTCCAATGTAATAAAAATAAATTGAAAATGGAAGAATGAATAATTGCTGGTAAACTAATTAAAACAAAAATCAGTTAAATGTAATAAACAGGATTATTCTAGCCTTGGGACATAGTATTTATACAACCATCGATTAAAGTACAAGAAATTCTTAGCAGACAGAATGCGCAAATTTATCGATTTTTTTTTTCAGACAAAAATAATAAGAAGGCAACCTATATCACAGTGTCAGGCAATTATGCTCATCTTCTAGAGATACCTTTGAAGGCAACTAAAACACAGGACATTTTCACATAAAAATGCCTTAATCTTACCATATCTTCATTTGTGCCTTTTACTTTGTACATTGTCCACGACTTCCCATCATTACTGTATGCAATTTTGTAAGATTTTACATATTCTGGACTTCCAATCCTCTTGGCACCTTGAGTTATAACTCCAGTGACTCTCATCTTCTTCTGAAGGTTTATCTGAAATAACAGTACAATGTTATCACTAAACACTTGACGGTCACAATTCTGATTCTTGATTCCTTTGATTCCTTTATTTTATTTATTTAACAGAAATGAAAAAAAATGTAGCTGTAGCACTTAAATTACTATCTTTTCACTTGCAATAATTCTTTTTATCTTTCATGCATTTAATGTACCTATGCACATAAATAAATGAAAAAAATCCCTGAACTGAAAGCCTGTACTATGCTTATGTCTCCACATGTACATGTACAAACACACACACACACATGTATATTACTGATACATAGAATATTACTGGTGTATTACTGGGATATAGCATATTACTGGTATATAGGATTATTGCTGTATATTTCCTTCCTAAAAAGGAAATGCAAGTGTGATGACAACATAAATAATGCATTAAAATACATTAGCACTTGCCTCCTTCAAATTAATCTTGCCTCTGCTGTCCAGTTCATGGCTCTGACCCACTACAATCCACACTATTCCAGACAGCAGTCCCAGTACAGGAATATGGAGAGTAAGAGACATATCAGGTCTCTGCTGTCTAAATACTTAAATCTCTTTATACTTTATCATGTAGTCTCAAGATTTTCTCTCACTTGGTAATGTAGTCTAGCCTCTATTAAGGATGCAAGATGATCAAACTTCAGTGCTTCAATATCTTCCTGTGTACACATGGGAAAACGAAAGAAAGAATTTTACTGTTCTTTTGAGAGAGTCTAGCTATTACTCTCCTACTTATCTGAAATATTTGGGCTTATGATATTTTTCCTCTTGAGGCAAAATAAATTTCAGTATAGTTTTACCACAGTTCTCCCTGTAAGGAATTGATAAACACTCATACCTTTTTAACATAACAATGGGTATTTTAGAGTTTTGGACCCATTAAGAGAGGAGAAGCTGCCTATAAAAACTTAGGGTTTTTTTTTGCATGATCTTTTGCAAATATTCCAGGAAAACTCAAAAAAATTTGCAATTGCAGTGGTGAAAATGGACTTACAAAAGGAATTTACACAGGAATTCACAATTATTAGAAGAAATTCAGGTCTTTTCACAGCCTTGGGAAACCTTTTCCCCCATCCCGGAGGAAAAAAAAAAAAAAAGAAGACACACTATATTTGTAAGGTAACAGCTCCAGAGACTACTATCAGCCCCCTAACTACATTTAAAAATGTCGTTAACATAGAATAAGCAGTTAGACATAAAGGCTTCTAGAATTTTCTTACACAGGTTCCACTCTCTAAAAAGAATTCAAGAATATTAATAAACAGTCAAGTAAAACAATTTTTACTATACTTATTAAACGGTTAATAAAGAAGTGAACACCATCTCTGAACCAAATTAGAAAGCATACCCAAACAGAAACCAGCCATTGATTATTTGCCTTTTGCACATACTAGTTGTATCTTCACATTTCACTGTTGGGGAAAGGGAAGATATAATTCAACACCAGACAAATTTTCTTGGATCCAGTTATGTATGCACCTAATATTCTTCCAGTTTCACTCTCAATTTTTTTTTTTTTTCCAGACAATAACCTTAGCAAGGTTTTTTTGGATCAGAGTTTATGTGAGGGCTTTTATGTTTGTTGGGGTTTTTTTCTGTTTGTTTGGTGTTGGTTTTTTCTATGTTTTTATGGGTGGTTGTTTTTTTTTGTTGGTTTTTTTTTGTTTGGTTTTTTTTGTTTACTCAGAAAGAGTAGTTTATAATGAGAATACCGGCTTTAAGCTCTGGATATTATATTCCCACACTGGGTCCTTCCCATGTCCAGGCCCCCATCTCTAACGCACAACAAATCAATCACTGCACTTCAAGAAGTAAAAGAATGACAAAAGACCCACCCAAAATTAATCTCTCAATGAGAGTAAAATATTTAATACAGACACTGTTTAACCCATGTTCTGTGAGTTTCAGGAGGCAAAAACCCTGCCTTTTTTCCTGCTATGTACCATCCTGCTCTATAGACTTATCTGGACATCTGTGCAATTCTATTTACTTCTCTGTCTTAATAGACAGCATCCTCCCTTTTAGAGGTTTTCCTCATCAGTATCCATATTCTGAGTTGCAAACTGAGCTTTGGCTTTAAGCACTACTGAGCCTGATGTAACACAGAAAATAGAAAGAGGACACTGTGTTTTGAAATTAGGTCTACATACTCTGTCAACATTTCCAGGCAAATCCTAATGAACGGGGGAAAAAACCCTGCACTTTTCAAATCCCTGCAGCTTGCTTATGTACAAAATATGGCTAACATCATGCCTGTGGTAGCTCCTTTGACTGCATATGAAAATAATTGTCACTTTACGTCTGAGTTTTTTTATGTGTTTTAAAATTTTCAAGTCCGAGCTTATCAAATCTCAGAATATTACAACTCTTCAATGACTATAACGACGCAGGTGCTGAAACCTGCTTTCTTAATGTACTTCGGTAAGAAGCAAAGTTCCCCATGTGAAATGTGAAGTAGCTGTGTTAGCACTAAAAGCACTTTCAAAGGTATTTTTCTGCAGCAATTGTAAAGAAAAACAGCTATGGAAGCTCTTTGTGGATTCAGACATAGGACATAATGTTCAGAACAAATTCTAATTATACTGGTGACTGTGTTTTAACACAAACAAAGAAGTGAAAGTCACCAGGATAAGAACAGTTTAACACATCTTTTAACTGAAGGTGAAAGCATGTTCAATTATAAAGGACCCCTTACCATTACCTAGAATAACTGGGAAAAATCAAGGATAATAGAAGATCTATAGTATTTTGAGGGGTTTACCTCTGTAATTTAAGTGCTAATGCACAATAAAGAACTTGTAAGAAGAGACACTTGCACATAAATTTGAGGAAATTACTTACAAAAAAAAAAAAAAAGAAAGGTAATAACGGACGAATCAGTTCCACCAGCCCTATTTAAATTTAAGATTATTTTAGAGTAACAGATTCAGAACTGATGCTTAATCACTGTCCACAGATCTGCATTCAGGCCCCAGCTCAGAGAGGGTTCCTGGGTCCAGCAGCTTCCACAAGACTTAATTCACCCAACATCCACCAGGGATTCAGCTGTGAAGCAGATCCAAAGATGCCTTTGTTGTACATCCTCATGGCACAAGGCATTTTCTGAAACTTAGGTAAGGTGTCCCTTAACACCTGCCAGTAATGGAATCTACCTCAAAGAGGTTTTGCATTTCAATGAGGAAGTTTTCTGGGGTGAGAATAAATTATGTACACTGGAGCACTCAGGTAAAACTGCATGTAAAGGAAAACCAGTAGTCTGACATCAACTCTTTTAAACATGATTTCTACAAGAAACAGATTACGTCCACAAAATACACAGTGGATGATGCAAAGTCACCATGCTGATAGGCCAGGTTGGACAGGACTTGGAGCAACTAGGTGTGGCAGAAAGTGTCCCTACCCATGGCAGGGTATTGGAGCCGGTTCAGCTTTAAGGTCCCTTCCAACCCAAACCAGCCTGTGCTTCTATGAGGCTATGATAAGTGTGAACAGCTCAGCTACAGCACAGGCATGGCAGTCAACTCATGCTAATAGACAGTGCCAGGGGATGAGGTACAATACCTCGGAGTCAGTGCTGTATACAATCTTGAAATCTGAATTCATGTACCACCAGTCACTTGGTGCCTTCTGTACTATATCACATAGCCAAAACCACCTAAAAAGTAAATCGCTTGAGGCATATTTCCCCTACTGTGATGTATGTCCAAGAACTAGGGAATAAAATCAACCCTGTCAGTTTAAAAAGTTACCAGCAGTCCTTGAAATTTATTTTAACCTTGTTCCTTTCAACAGCCACAATCATCCTGACTCCACGATTAGACCAATTCTATCATCACAAGCAAGGTCATGTCCTCCTTCAACAGGAGGGGAAGAAGCAACCAGTATGCCATGTTTCCTGTTTTCAGCACTGATTCTGTACAAGTTATCATCTATTAAACAATTTTCACTGGTGTGCTAATGTTTTTCACTGCAATGACTCACACAAATCTGTTTTACGATGCTAAACCATTCAGTTGTCTACACTGACAAAGATGTAGCCAGTCAAGATTTTACTGGAAATTGAAAAAACCCGTATCAGAAAGGGAAAGAAAAAAATAAAAAAGAAAACTGAGTATTTTCCCAGGAGAAAATGGCAATATGAACAAGGTAATTTTATGAGTTCCTATATATTGTACAGTGCATCATTTTCAAAGACAATTCAGAACTAGTCCAGAACCGTATGCATGGTGTTTTTGCAGCTGCACTTTTAGGTGTGAGTACGTGTAGGACCATTAACACTGGGGGGAAGTGCTTCAAACTTGTTTTCCATACACAGTCCAAAGAGTTCAACAAAACACTTACCAGCATGCTTAACAGCTGCTGTAACTCCAGAAAAAGACTAAATGCACAATCAGAGTATGTCAAAGTAACAGAACAGCAGAGACTGGGGACAGCACCAGTGCAAGAAGCTCACATTCCTCTTCAATTTTTGATCAAGTATTAGTTTATTCAGTACGTAGAAGCTATGTACTTGACAAAACAGATAAAAGAATTAGACGCATCTGTCTCATCTACATTATTACATCCAGGAGAGGAGACGGCATATCAGAAGATGGAGTGACTTGAAGAAGACACCACATATCATGATGCTGCCCAGAATACGTAACCATATTCCCATCATTTGTTATTGCACTCTTAGCAATAACACCACTAACATTTCATACACAACAGATTTGTCTGAAACATACGTTAAGAGCAAGCTTCCAGGAAGTGCTCAGCTTAAAGCCTTTATGAAACACTGGGCCCCGGAGATTGTAAATGAAGTTTTACATGAGCCTTCATTCATAAACAGAAATGTAGTTTATGGAGAACTATGGTGTTTACCTGTTTCAGTTCTGAGATATAAACAGCATTGCTAGAAATTATTTCCCATATATTCTAGCACGAAGTATATATATTTTTACTAACAATCACTATTACCCATAAAAATAGGGTTGAATAAGAGA